CTATTTTGACAAGTCTTGTGTAAACCTTTTGAATTTTAACAATAATATTTGTATTTTTATGGTGATTTGGGTTAACTCTAGTACAATGCATAGTTTGTCAAACCTACTAATGGTCTCTATTTAAAATTGCTCAAAATAGCTTTATGTAGGTCACCATAAAAGAAGGCATAAGGGCCATTCATTTGTAACATAGTCCAGCCTTGATGAGTGACCACATATAAAAGGATTCCAATGAATTTCAGACTATGCAATTGGGGGAGAATGTGTCAAAATAATTGACCCCGTGGATGTGGGTGAAACATTTTTAAATCAAACAAACTATTGAGGAATCAATCAATTCTTGAGAATGAATTTTTGTAGTGAGCACTCGCTGCCAATAAATTGGTTTGACCTGTGAGAGGGTACAATTAGATCCTAGGTATGATGATTAAAAAGAGTATTCATTTTAACATCCATAATATATTTCAATAAAGAACATTGAAACACACCTTAATATGTCTAAGGAATGGATGTAGACGATAAAGGTAATGCAATAATGTGAAATGAAGTGGATAAATAACTAAGTGAGATAATAATATGATGGTCACTATGTGGGCCTTTATCTCTCAAAAGGGCAATAGAAATATGCAAGTCAAATGGTTCATCGAGTTGAATCAAATAATGTGCTGGGAATTGTTATCACGAATGGAGGTCTAGGAAAATGAGAGTATACTTATAAAGATGTGACAATAGTAAGAGGAGATTAAGGAGAAGGAATGGGAAGCAAGTAGGCTCAAAAACAATATAAGAAAGAAGAAGGTGATAGGCTCATGAAAGATTACACCAACAAAAATACATAATTGTTATGTAAATGGATCATAACATCAATATCCTTCATGAGTACGATAATATCCAAGGAATATGCACCGAATAACAAGTAGAGAAAAATTGAAACATGCAAACAAATCAGGTTGATCCAAAGACCCATAAATTAAAGAGAAGAAAGCTTGACCAAGATAAAGCATGGAAATGAATTAGGAGTGATCTAGAAGTTGATGAAGGATTTGATTGATTAAACACAATTCACTATGCTGATAGAAATAATAACTCTCGTCTTTACTGTAAATCTTTGGGAATATTGAAGATTACGCATGATTTACAGTTCATTATTTTATAGCTCAAGTGTGATAATCACTAGTGAGGAATCACAAAATCGCAGATGAAACATAGCCAGTCTTTACTGTAAATCTTTGGGAATATTGAAGATTATGCATGATTTACAGTTCATTATTTTATAGCTCAAGTATGATAATCACTCGTGAGGAATCACAAAATCGCAGATGAAACATAGCCAAGAAAGCACTATAGTAAAAAATAATAATAATGGTTCTACCTGTTCAATCAATTCTTTAATATCTTTTCCCTCTTTATTGCTTTTTGCAGCACCCAACTCCACCCCAGATACTCTTTCAGCAAACATTAAGGTACTTAGTGTCTCCGAGAATGATTCTAGATCCGGATTAACCTGTACAAACATAAGGGTCTTTGCTTGCCCACCTGCATATGAAGTACAAATTTACTAAGGAAATATGATTGAGTAAAGCAAGCATGGAGCTTGGAGAAAAGAAATGACCACTTTTTTTTTTAATTCTCATCATAATAAGAAGAAAAATGACAATAAGGAATTCCATTTAATAGCAATCCATTAAGAGTTTCCTTTTAGCAACTAAAAATACTGGGAGAATCAACAAGCCCCAATAGTAAGAACAAATATAGCAGAAGTACCTAATGAACTCTGAAGGACTTGGGTAAGTTTGCTGTTTCTATATGGTACATGAGCGCTTTTCTGAGACAGTGCAAATATGACATCACCGAGGGCAGAAAGAGACTTGTTGATGTGTTGTGCTTCTTTGAGTCTATCCCCTGTTGCTTTAGAGCGCTCAACTCTCTCACTTCCAGCCAGATCTATTAAATGTAGACAACCCCTTGAAGTGGAGCCAGTCTTCAAATCTACACCTCGTACATGAACGGTTAGAATGCTGCAAAATGTAAAAATCAGTACAAGTCATAAGTTCAAATGAATTTATCAGCCCAAGGAAGAAGAAGTAACCTGTGGGATCGACTACTTCTTTCATTTAAAGCAGTTGAACCAACAGCCCTGTTTGTTTGCCCAAATTGCATCAGCTCCAAGACATCTGAGGTTGATTTGACTGCAAACATGCTTGCATCAGGAACAACTAGACCCTGTGGTTGTGAAATACTCCAGATCCCAAGTGTGCGCAAGCTAAGGAAGCAATTGACCTTAATATGATAAATTAGTAGCTCAAAATATCAAAATTCCAAAAATCACAAGGATGCCACGCTCAATATCTCCATAAAAATAACATGAATTTCATAGTGTAAAATATGAAAGAAACATACAAAACCCCAATTTGTGATTTTCCAACATTAATTTAAACAAAGATTAGACAATTTTGATTTAAAAATGACACAGGATTTTGAAAATAGCGATCTTCACATGAATGCACTTTTAAGTGAAGCAAAATAGGCAAATGACATATTTGATCAACCTAAAGTGCATCTATGTTGTCAAAAATTCCATTATCATAGGTATAGCATTAAGCACCTCCACATTAAACCCTAAAAAAAGTACCAAAATGATATTAGCTTGACAATTTTTTAGCTGCTTTATGATAATAATGCCAAGGATATCGTTTCTGTGAGCCACTATTGGAAAGCAGATCACGAACTTGCTCATTATAGATTTCAACCATCTGAACGCCTACTTCATACGTGAAGGCGTTTCTTCTTACTTGGGACATATGAAATAGATCACTCAAAGCTCGGTAATTGACCCCCCAATCTTCCTTTGAAGACAAGTTTGGTCCGCTCTATCAAAAGATGGTTTGAAGGCAAGAAATATCAGATTTCAAAGGTTATAGACTAGAAAAAAGACAAATTAATAACTATGATCATACCATTGTGAAGGTTTTACCAGAACCAGTTTGACCATATGCAAAGATGCACACATTGAATCCATCAAGAACCGATCGAATCAATGGTTGAATATCCAAGAAAACTTGCGCTGTCAATGCATAGTGTACAGGTAGAAGTAAGTGTCGTCAGCTTTTTTTAAGAAACATATAATCCAATAATCATTAAAAGAAAGATTTACATATATACCTGTCCATTCTTATGTAGTTACATATTTAATACCCAAACTATAATTTTTACATACATGCCAAAATTCCCTATGCATGAAAAGGTACATTTCACTTTTTAAAAGTTAAAATAGTGGTATTTTTTATGTGATACGAAATATTTGAGTGGTAGAATGTAAAAAATTAAAGTCTTAAGTGTTAAATATGCAAATACATGAGAATTGGGTGGTATGTATATAAATGCACCTAACTCGAAACACAAGAATGTTCAAAGAAAATTAAAAACCTTGAGTAGCAGTTGGGCCAAAGATCTTGTTGAACTTGAACAACCGATGGCCATCTTTTCCTTGCCTGGAAGGGTTCAAGAGAGCAAGTTCACCATTCTCACCAATGTAATCAATCGTTGTTAGCCTTGAATTTTGCCCACGTAAGAATGGTCTTATCCGACAATATACTCTAATATTTCCTGATAAAAATGTTCAATGCAGATTTTAGTTATTTTATTTCCTTGAGTTACACTATGTTTACCAAACAAAGATTTAATATTCTAACATTTTAGTAGATACCTTTTAGTTCTTGAACTTCATTGTATAACTTTCTATTTTCTGCAAGAACTGTATGATAATTTTCAGCAGCATCGGCTAAAACTTTAAGTCTAGCCCCTGCATAAAACATGGAAAAGGATGGCATATCGAAGCAGAATAACAACAATAAAGATCTGCTTCAAGTTGCATATTTTTTACCTATGTTACTTATTTCTTCCCTCCATTGACTTTGAGAGTTTACAACTTCCACCTTGATGAATTCTGAGGACATTCTCAAGCTCTGAAATAAACAAAATAACCACTTTTTTTCAAATCAAAACCAAACTAGAAAATTTAATAAAGATAAACAAGCAAAAATCAAATGTATAAGTTAACACCTTTACTGACTGTATTTGAGAAGAAAGAAAATTGTGTAACGCATTCTCCTTATGATTCCAACTCTGGAACTTTGATTCAGAGAATGCCTCGAGTTCATTTATCCTCTTAGTTGATGCGGATAGCAAGAGTTCAACCTCCCTTATTCTTTCTTGCAATCTTGCTTCATTTTGCTTTGCTTCAATTTCTAGTCGTTGGCAACGTTGTTCATACTGTTTTTTTTCTCTTTCCAAATCTTGCTTAAGCTCCATAATCACTTTATAATTATCTTCCTTCTCTTTCATCAACTTCAATGCATACTGCTCCTCGTGCTTCTTACTCGCCTCCATTTTGGTCTTCTCTCCCTGAAGCATGATATTTTCCTAATTATGCATGGCAAGTCTGTTTTTAACCAAAAAATTACAAAGAAACATCCAATACATGAACTGACAAGGTGGTGGATAGCATTGGAGAGGCCTTTGAAACATCAATAGCTTCCAGCTCAATTGTAATTATTGAAGCAGGTGACTAACAATGTGAGGGTGCTGCTTTTGGCATTTGGTAATTGTGGCAAACATTCTTTCCCAGTTTTATTTATTTAGTTTTTGTAACTAAGGACAATGATTAATTTGCCGTCAAAACTAGATATGCCAGAGTATAAAATTAGCCATATAGTTATCAATTTTATTTATTAATTGTCAAATTTTAAAATAAAAATAAGCCTTTTGTCCATTGTACTACTTGTTGACCTCATTTTTTATGAGGTCTATTTTTTCTCCTAAGGCTTACGACCTAGTCTTAGGACTTTCCTAATGACTATCCTAGATGGCTGGTGATGGGACCCGCCCTTTTAGAAATTCAAACCACCTCCTAGCTCTTTGTGTGAGGCCTCATATGAGTGGTCTCAAGCACTCAATTCTTAGTTGCAAGGAATAAGGACCAACATGCGGAGGCCCAAAGAGAGTTCCCATAGGATTTAAAAGACTGAAGAAACCCAATGTGACTTTCGTGCGTATTCACAATACACGAACACCATAATTTGTACGTTCAAGCACATAAACACCAAAATTTACATCTTCTACACCCGTAAATAATTTATCATTAATCAAAACTAAAAAAAAATTC